GAAAAAAGCTTTCTGTAATCCACCATGTTGACTGCTTAGTGTGAGCTATTTGATATCTGTTGCAGAATTAATGAGGGAAAGTGGCCATGGTGGAAAGTCTGCCAGCTGTCTCCATATTTTGAAGATGGTATAAGCAGGGAATACAGCCATTATGTTTAAATGGTTTTACTTGAACAGCACTAATCAGATAGAATGACTACGTTATGAAATTAAGGGGTTTTTTATTCTCTGCAGGTATGAATCTACCAGTGTATAATGTATAGGTTTTTTGTCAACTTTTGGTAACTTTCAAGAAGCAAGATATTCGCCCATATTTTTCATTTGATCTTTTACTTACAACCAGTGTAATATCTTAGTTCTAACTAAAATATTGATTTTGCATATTTTTGTGCTTTGCTTGTTCTGACAACTATGTAATTAAACTCTTTCCAGTGCTGACCTACTGAATAATCATCATTTAAGTGTTTGCACCTTTAAACTTAGCACCATGTAATATAAATATGAATGAGATAGTGTATGTAAACTTACACTATCAGTGTAAACAGGTAGTGTTACAGGACTGTAAACAGACAGTCCTTACCTATCTGTATGAATGTTTCATAGCATGAAAAAATATTGTATCAATACATGCTACACTGCCTATCAGTGTGGCAGCATTTCATATGAAAACTGCCCATTACCTTGCATGAGCAGAATGATTATTGTATCAATGGTTGTTTGTAAATATTATGATTAAAGAGGGATGTAGGAATCAAATTACAGAATATTAAAAATAGTGTCAGTAACAGTTTTAGATAAATTAAAACTTTCTGTAAAATGCATGTTTTATGGAATTGATGATCCATATATGCAAAGAATGAGACCCTCACTAGATACTTATGTTGTCATGTAACAGAACTCATAATTGATTTCTTCCAGTATTTTCTATTTGTCTTTCTACCTTAGAAATACAGAAACTTCTCAATAGCTCTCTCTTCACAAACACAGATCACAATTATGTCTTCTATTAATCCTCTATGTCTCATATCAGTAAAATGTATCTTTCCCAATTATTAGATGGGGATAGTATATTGTCTTTAGGAAGCATAAAATGACTACAGGTAGTCCTCACTTAACAACCGTTCATTTAACAATGATTCAAAGTTACAATGGCCTCAGAAAAAGTGCTTTACGACCTGTACTCGCACTTAATAACTGTCACAAACCATCGCACCACCCCCTGTGGTCATGTGATCATGATTTGTGACCTTTTTTACAATGGTTGTTAAGCAAATCACGTGGTTGTTAAGCAAATTCTGGCAAAAAATGTCCATTGAGGAAGCTGGATTCGCTTAACAACCACGTGATTTGCTTAATGACCACATGATTCCCTTCATGACCATAGTGGTTCACTTAACAACCATCATTAAAATGGTCATAAAATTGGGTCTGGTCACATGGTGACTCACTTAATGACCACTCCACTTAACGAGCAATTTTCCAGTCCCTATTGTGGTCGTTAAGAAAGGGTTACCTGTAGTGCAGGTAAAGTATAGGATTATATCTCAAAATATCTCAGGAATGTCATCTGCCAGGAGAATGGCTGTCTCCATCCATTGCACACACCTTAAATATGTTTTCGAAGATTAAAATGCTCTCCAGACCAGGTTTGGAGAGATGTGGGAAGATGCAAGAAGAAATAGAGCAAGGAGTGATTTCTCTGATTCACACATGGGATATGTGCCTGTGCATAGCCCTGGAAACATCTAGAATTTATAGAGTTATTCAATGGGAATCCTGCCTCCACATGTCCCACACAACTAAAAGTGCCTCCCACCCAAACATTTCTGTTTATTTTCAATAACCACAGTATTAGCAAATTTATCCTGGAGCTGTTTGGTCTTCTGCTTTATCAAGATTCTTTGTTTTCTTATTCTCTTTTATGTTCTTTCAGTTGATCTTCAGCCATCGTTTTCTCCACTGTGGAGAAAAAAATGCAGTGACATAGAAAGATGCAATTAGTAGATAATGGAGAGAAAAGGAGTATATTTTCCCAGGCCTCAAGACTGGGTTCACATATCACTTTAGGCTGTAATATGTCTTGGTTTGTTTCAGCTTAATATGTTTCATGAACCTAGTCAATGGTAGCTTATACAATAAATAGTTGTTGAACAAACTATAACTTAGTGGAACATGTTAATCTGGCAATGATGTTTCCATTTTGAAAAATAATTGAGTTGTTGAATTCCAGTTTGCCTTAAAGCTATTGAAATACGTTATATTAGAAAACATGTCAGGCTTTTCTGCATGCTATCAGTTCCTTCCATTACAGTGTTGTAGCTGTTGAGAGTCTTAGTTACTGGAATCATTGATACATCATACTTTGGATCAACTAAAAATGTCTATTCAAAAGGCTTTTAAAAATACCGTCTTTTGGAATGTCATATTGCAAGATGTTTGAATGTGTAATAGTCAACTGTATTTATATCTCAATTTTTCCCAATTTGGAATATCAAAGTAGACATTGCCACAATGTAGGTGGAAGTTGCTGTTTAGAATGAGCATTGCGAGCACATAGACACACAAAGGGAGATTAACTGTTTCTTGTCCTTAAGAATAAATTAGAGTGGATTGAGCTGAAAATTTCAAAAATCACTTGCCAAGAAATAAACAGTATTCATTTGATAATGAATGAGCATCTAACTTTAGCAGAATAATTTACAACAATTTATTTTGACAAGAGTATTCTGTGATTTCTTATTGAGAATGTATCTAAAAGCAAGATGTCAAGATGGTCACATAAAAATGTTGATGCTAAAGGTCTTTGTTCTGCTGGCAAAATAAAACATAGTACTAATGGAAAGAATAAAAAATAATTCTCTTCCAAATTAACCATTACATATATTATCTCATTATTTATTTTTTGATCAGCATTTATACCAAGAAATTACTTTGTTAGGAAAAGGAAGAAGCAATCTGACTTGCCCCAGAATTTAATCATTCTCAAAGTATGTATGTGAAATTCACAATTTTATCTATTGCCTACTGAAACAGTGCAGATAATATTAACAGCAGATGCTTCCTTCAGATTTGTGAATGCAGAGTAAGATAGTCTGTCACCAGCTCAAATCTTGCAGAAGCTTGTAATCATCGAGAAATCGATATGTGTTACCACCAGAGAATGTTTAACAAAGGCACTGGTTTATTACTGATTATTACCTGATGTAAAGATTTGATGAAAATTAATAATGTTTTTGGACAATTGCAAATAAAATAAAAGAGATCTCTTTATGTTGTGCTGAAGCACTTAGCGTCAGAAGCTGGAAACAGAGTCATTCTTCTGGAAATTGTTCCTGTCTACAAAAGCGCATTGTTAATTAAGATGATTAAAATTAAGCATCTCTGTTGATGGAGCAGGGAGAATGGAAATTTATTTGATTCCTCATTCACTGTACCCCTCCTGAAGAGAGAGTTGGTGGACGCTGCAAAAAGTACTACTAGTGACTGAAGAACAGCATAGGCAGAGAGTGATTTTTCTTCTTTTTCACTAAGGAGAGCATTCCATGCTGCTCAGATAATGCTGCCATTAGCAGTCTAATCTCCAACCCAGCACTGGGAAATTGGAAGGACTTAGTTTGTGTAAGAAACAATAATAAAAATAAAATTATGTATACAGTCCTAAGCTCCTTACTTAAAAGTAATTATTAAAAGTAAATGTTTACTTAAAAAGTAAATATTCTGAAGTAGTTTGCTTTAGCTTTAAAATAATTGAGATCAAGGAGTGTTTTCCGATACAAACATAAGCTCAAGCTAATAAAGATTAGCTCAGATTTATAGAAATAACCCCATATCCACTTATCCAGTTAATAATCCTATCTTCTATATCCACTTAAA